GTGTGTGGTGTTTTTTGTTTTTGTTTTTTGTTAATTCTCTGGTGAGGCAGTAGACATTCAGTAAACCCTTGCTGCTGAAAATTAACTGGAAGGCTTTGCCTGATATGCGTGCATGCTTTACTTAGCTCTAGCTTTGTAAAGGTTGAAGAAACTTCCATTGCTAAGCAGATATAATTAATTTTTAAAGATATTTTTTTTTCCAAAGGAAAAATATACTTACATTTTGCAATGTGTTTGGATTGCTCAAAATAAGTGTGAAATAGGAAGAAGTAAATGAAAAATATATGGATATATGTAAGATATATTATCAGTTAATTTTTTAATAGAAAGCAGCTTTCAGAAGCTGTGAGAATACTATCCCATCTTATTTGTGACTCTTGTTTTGATTTTTTTTTTTGTTCTTATTTTTGGTGATTTCTCCCATCTTCCAGTCCCAATTAAAACAGGAAGTTATTAGATCATCAAAGCATTAAGCAATGCAAATTAAATGCAAATGAAAAATGTAAATGAAGTAGTAGGATTGCATCATATATGTGTCCAGGAAGAAAAGCCGCTTGACCCAAGATACTTCATTTGAGGTATTTGAGTAAGATATCAGAGTATTGATACCACCATTCGAATTACTGATTAAAAAAAAAATAGATACTGTGGCTGTGTTCAAGGAAATTCAGGTCTTGTAAGAGGGATGTATAAGCTGAACCTGTTTTGGCATAAGAAGAAACTGCCGAAAATTTAAAAATTGTTCATGGATAAATGTAGGGTTCAGGTAGAGAGGACAAAGTACTAACTAGCAGGATTCAGGTACAATCTCTTTCTGAGTTGAGGAGTAAAAAGGTTCAGCTAACCTTATGTGGTAGTTGCTTAAACATATGAAAAGGATTACCCCTGGTTATCCCCTTTAATGGAGGGGAATATTACTTAGTGACCTATAACTCCTCTTTCTTGCTTCCTCTAATCTTGTCCATATTGTGATTTCATATTTGCCCTCTACGCCCCCTTCCTATATTTTATGTTAAGCATAGGGTTTTTTTAAAAATAAAATGCGCTTGGTTCTGAATGTAATAGGCTTTATAGGAGTAGCCTTAAATGTTCATACTCTTCAAAGTCTGCAGAAACTAGGTAAAATGTATCCTGGAATTTCTCATGAGTGAACCTTTCCCCCAGATAACACAGCTGTTGGCGTGCATCAGATTACCTCATTATGCAATGCTGTAGATACCTTCTGTTTGTGTTGTCACATGCTTCTGCAGCTAAATTTTGGAGTAATGGAGATTTTTATCTCAAGATAACAAAACAGTAAGTAGTTGGTGTAGTTTAACAAAAAGAGAATTAATATTCTTAAGAAGATAAGCATAGTCTTTTGATTTATGCTAGACTTTTAAGAGCGCATGGTTCAACTTCATGTTTTCTCTGTTGTATGAGACCGAGAACGAGATTGTATAGTCTTATTTTTTGACTTACTGCAATGTATCAATACAGTAGAATAGTTTTATTTTCTCCACAATAATAGATTGCATTGATCCAACAGGTATATTGCATACTGACTGAGAAGAAAGAAATCAGTTCGTAACAATCTTATCAGAGAATTTTACTTAAGAAGTGTATTTTTTACACTGTGAAAACATTTCTGCAATATAGCCAGTGGCTTAATTTTTCATAGTAAATTACACAGTTTTGAATAACCATTATCAGCCTGAGGTGTGGATGTGAGAGATTTCACTTTCTACTTTTTGCCTTCCTGGCTTTTAATAACTCAAGAAACTAGACATTTATTCAGGTTATCAGTTAAATGCCAAACTTCCAGTTTAAAACAGACAAAAACCCATACAACCCCAAAAAACAACAAAAACAAACAAAAAAACCCAGACCCACTATTCCCTGCCCCGTTTTCCCTCAGATCTCTGGATCCTGTATCTACACAAATACCTTTCTTCATATCCCCTGGCTGTAGCAGTGAGTAATAATTTTGGGGGCCTCTGAACGGCCTTACTCTCTTGTGTTCAGGGAGGCAGCGAAACCCAGCAGCACCTTGCAGCACACTGCCATTAGGACCACATTCAGTGGTGTCAGGAAGGTTGAAGTGTATAGGTACCAGCTAAGGTGAGTTATCTGAAGATACTGAAAGAGCTGATCGTGCTTCAGTGATACATTTTGTTTTGGAACATACTGATAGTAACAAAAGACAGAACAAATAAATGTAAAAAACAACCACTGGAATACAGAAATGTTTCCACTGTCATTACAGTTGTACGGAACGTACATGAATTTCAGTGGGACTTCGTCAGGAACTTTAAGACTTGTTTTTTTTCCTAATTGGTCCACCAGTCAAAGTAGTTGTCATCTTTATTGTGAGTGATTCCAAAAGATAACTGTTGTTAGCAGCTGTGAAGAAAACAAAGCTGCTGTTCTGTGTAACTGGAATATTGGTTATTGTGGACTGATGTGCTCTTTATTTGTGCTAAAGAAAACTGCTGCTGTTCTAAGAGCAAAGTTCTTTCTGAAGCTCTCCATTTGGCCCACAACAAAATGAAAGGAGCTTAAATTCACAGAGAGAATAAACTTAAAAAAAAGTCTCTTGGCATTTCTGCTTGCTTTTTAAATGTGAGCACTATGTGTATCTACCCCAAGAATTACACAGACTTGAAATAACTTCACAGTTGTTTTCTATAGTACTCATTCTTTGTTAATGATTTAGTTATGACTTCTCAGAATGTTAAGATATAAAAGTAAATGTCTTGGCAGTCATTTACGTATAACTCTTAGCTGTTAGTACTTAACGCTTCTGTTGCGGGGCTTGTGTTTGATAGGAGGATGGAATGCTTCTTCCTTCTCTTAAAGATTAAATCTACACTATAGCTTTAAAGCAACTGTTGCTGCAGGTAGACTGTAGCAGATTTGATGCCCTTAATGCAGTTTATTGGAAATTGGTTTGCGCTTAGTTAGAGGCTGGTTCTGTATGGCACAGTCCAACCATGCTGCTTTGAAAATTAAACTTCCTGCTTGCATAGTTAAAATATGTCCAAGGAGGAGACTTATTGTTCCAGTGAGACAGGTGATTAAAGTTCTCAGTAGCTTAAAGATTTGTGTAAATCTTTAATGTGATTGGTATCCTGAGCTCCATTTCGTTATTGTGTTGTACAGTGTGGACCATAGCACTTTTGCTTAACAATTTACCTTGCACTTTTAAAAGGATTTGAGATACAGGTTAGTGTATGGTAACATATTTTTCCTCTTTAAAATAAAGCCTATTTTAAAAACACTTGTTTCAAATTCTTCCCATTTCAGGGAGCTTTTGTGCATCTGCGTACGATACATCTTCCCAAACCTCAAATTAGACTTAATTTCAGTGTCTTTGTGTCTTGCAGTTTGTAGGGCATGGAAAAAGAAATCAGACTTTGTGATAGATAACAGTAGATGCTTTTAGAAAAACTGAACTGGAAGCAAGCTACTTCATGGGAGTTCATGCATTATGCCTGCCTTGTCCTTAGGGAAAGAGAACTAAAACTGATGATTCAGTTATTTGGTATACAGCAATGTAGCCAAATAATGGTTTTAAACACCTGACAGTTAGAGATTGGTTGGGGGGGGGGAATGGAGGATGTATTAATAATTGTAAAATTTAGACTTTTGAATTCTTCAGACAGACAAGAATGACACTGAGACCCTATGTTAAGAAGTAAAAGACTCTAAGCTCCTTTCAGCCTGAAGTTGAGCGACTTTATACTGAGATTTGATTACCTGAGGAAGAACAGTGTGATCAGTACCTCCTGTGTTTATTAAAATCTTTGCCCTGAGTTGTTAACGTTCAGATTTACTGACAGAAATATTAGTAATGCATATGGTGCCCATTGTTTGGAGTTTGTATCAATACTAAGTTGGAATGCCCTACTTGGTAAATCACATTTCTAGCAAGTCCGCCTGATCGTCCCTAAAAGCAGAGAGGCGAGGTGACTGTGTGACTACAATTTTAAAAATGGATCTTAGGTGTTAGCCACATACTCAGTACTTTTAATTTCTCTAAGAAACATTACTAGTGGCCTCGTTCTGCAATAACTGTATTGCTTTTGTATTCTTACTTCTTATTGCTTCATAAAGTTACTTGGCTTACTATATAAAATATATGCATGTATAAATAAGGATATCAGGCACACCAACCTGGTTCAGTTAAGTATCTTCTGTCTGCATGTTCTCCATAGTGATATTCTCTTGCTTTTAATGGAACAAAGGCTTTGGTAGACCTAGGCTGGCTGTGGCAAATGTATATATGCTGAGAAGCAAATAGTGGCATTTCTTGTATAGCTGTATGATAGGCTAACAGACATACCAGCAGAGGGAATATGTGCTCAAAGAAAAGGACTGTCAGTAGTAAATATTAAACTTAAAACAGCTCGTTCTCTTCCTGCTAATATATGCAGGTGGTGTAGTTCCAACAGAGCTGCTAGTTCTGGTGGGTTGAAGTCTGGAGACTCCCAGAATAATGGGAGAGTTATGTATTGCTGCTCCTCATACAGAGCCTTGTGACTGTAGAAATTCCAACTGGTCTTGGAAAGGCAATTGTAGATGTTACACAGTGGAAATGTGACTTGAGAAATCTTCTCCTGTTTGGTTGTTTCTTCCTCCTCCCCTCAGTCTATTTTAAGAACTGGTCCCAGGAGTCAGGCTGGGTGAAATGTAGTAAATGTGCTCTGTCGAGATGCTGACTGAAGAGGAAAAAGTTTTCCTGGGAAAACATATTTTCACTTTATTAAAACCTGCTTCTTCAGAGAGGTGTATTTGAGATTTTCTTTATTCTTTTACTTAACTGAGTCTTTATGAAGTCTTAACTTAGAGGCGTTTAATATATGTGAATTGGACACATAAGTGACCACCAGCTTTCAGGAGCAGATGCTGCTACTGTCACAACACTGAATTGTTCTTCAGTAAATGTTTTAAGTGATATGGCTAACCTGTATACTTATAGTGACTTTCTCTTTCTTCCTTCTCAATCCCCTTGTCCTTAGCGTTTCCATGGTTTGGAATGGATATCGGTGGAACATTGGTTAAACTGGTCTACTTTGAACCTAAGGACATTACTGCAGAAGAGGAACAGGAGGAGGTAGAAAACCTGAAAAGCATTAGGAAATACTTGACGTCCAATACAGCCTATGGTAAAACTGGCATTCGCGATGTCCATCTTGAACTGAAAAATTTGACTATGTGTGGACGCAAAGGAAACCTGCACTTCATCCGCTTTCCCAGCTGTGCCATGCACAGGTTCATACAGATGGGTAGTGAAAAGAACTTCTCCAGTTTGCACACTACGCTCTGTGCCACGGGAGGTGGAGCTTACAAGTTTGAGGAGGACTTTAGAACGGTATGTGAACAGTTCATAAGGGTTCAGTGTGAAGTACTTTGGGAAAACATCATGGGAGTCCTATTAAAACTTGCAGAGAAAGTAACATTTTTTTGTCCATCCTAACTGGTTAAGACTAAGAGAATCAATTCACATTTGTTAACTGGTAGGATTGCTGAGAACATGGGGGAGGATATTCTACTTGCTGGGTATTCTACTGAAGTATTATTGCAGAGCATGTCTTCGGTAAATGTAGTGGGTTTTTTTAGAGTACAGGTGTGATGATCGGATGTCTTATAATCAGCTTGAGGGTGTGTTATGACAACCCAGAAGCCTGAGACTAGGTATTCATTTTGCAAACTGGATATCTGTTAGAAAACCAGAAATTAAACCATACAGACTAAAAATTAAATTCAAGTTCATTTCCCCTTGTATTAGTCTTCAAGCAGAATTAAGTCAAGAGTCCAGAAGACCAAGTGTGGAGCAGGGAGAGAAACAGTGTATGGAAGCATGATAATAGCAGCTAGCTTTTGATATCAATTCTGGGAGTACGTCACGTGAAGAAAGGCGGGTCATGAGGTGACTAGGTCCCAGATCTCCTAGATTTTAACAATAACCTCTGCAGGGAGCTCCAGAAGCTGATGTACGTCTGAAGAATTGGGATGCTGCTGTTTGTATGAGCTTCAGCAATAGTCCTAGCTCCAGAATGAGTGCAGTGCAAAAATTGTTTGTGGCTACAGGCATAGAGAACTGTTGTATAAACTGCATTAGAGAGTAGTAGTCATTCAGGAGTCAGTTGCCTGTTGTGTATGTGTCTCCACTGGGGCACATCTTAAATTATTTTCTGTAAAAGAATTACTAGTCTGGCTATACCAGATCAGTTTCACTAAAATTAATGTGAATGATTTACTTGGCAGATGGGTCTGACGCTTCTGTCCCTAGCTTTTGACCTGATCTTGTGGGTGAGGGATGGCTGCTGGGTATGACAGGTTACATCAGTTGCTTTTCTGTCTTTGCTTCAGTCTACAGAGCACTGATTTACCAACTGCTGTTGACTACAGTCTTTGGGTTTGTGTGCTTTTAACTCCCGGCATCCATTCCTGCAGTACAAGAGGTTTTTTCATTGTCAATACCCCTCACCTACCAGATGACCAACATCCTCTGGGGGAGGAGAATGTTGTAAGAGATCAAGGTGAATTCTGACTGTCATACTTTTGTGCAGTCAATTTCAGTAAATGTTGGCCATGGAAGCAGCTAGGCTAACGAAGGGCTGTCAAGTTTCTGAATTGCTGTAGTAGTCCACTGTTAGTGCCAGATTTCTTGTCCTTTAGGCTGAGTGCAAGTCTCTTAACTATTAGGGTCTACTGATGATTGAGTTCTTAAAGTTTTAGTTTGTCTCACATTGTGTAAGGAAGTTGGCACCACAGTAGGAGGTGAGTTCTAGTGTATGTGACCTCAGTTGAGGTTTTCAAATGTCCTTCCATGTGTCCAGGAGGTGATTCAGGTCATGTTCTCTAGTGACAATGGGAGGTCACTTTGAGACTTTCTGAAGAGGCTGACTCTTCTTTTGGAGTGGTTAGTCCTACCAAATTCATCTTTCCTGCCTCATGTAATAGCAGCTGGAGTTGCTTATTTAATAAGGAAGTTCATGGCCCTTGTTGCCCTGGCTGTAGATTTGAACTGGAAGTTACCCAGTGGCTCACAGCTAAGCATTTCTCTCCATAGTTTTGGCTTTATCTGGCATAATTATGCCATTTCCAGTGAGGGACCATTCTCTGTCATCTCAGCTGCAATATAGTCAACATGGCACTGGAAGCCATAGCTGAAGTTAGGGCTCTTTTGCTAGGTATTGCACAAAAATACGAGGTCACATAGCAAGCTACTGGTGGACTTAGCATGAAATCCCACATCTTGGCAATGTTAGTTAACACTGTGTGCTGCAACACTTGTAGGTAGTTTAAGAAAAACACTATAAAGTTTGGCTGGGGTGTTTTGTACCATAGAGCAACCACTGAAGTGCACTCACACCAGCTATCCACTTCCACAGCTTCTGTTACAGCAAGTGTTTCTTGGCTCAAACTATAATATTCATAGAGTATTACAGAAGCAAAGTTCTATCCATTACATGAAGGTTTGCTTGCTTAATCTCTCTCAAAGGGCTGAGTGTCCTGGGTACAGGCACTTAAATTGTCACACTTCATTAGCTATTGTAACAGCAGCTGGTTGTCTCAGTGTGTTCAGCTGACTGCACATTGACATTGCACAACAGCTTCAAGATTGTGCTTTCAAAGCACTGAAATGTCTGTTTCAAATATTTGATCACTAATGCACCTGCAGAAGTAGAGAATGAATGCCAAGTATAATATCCTGCTGTTGCTGGATTCAGTACTGTATATTATCATATATGGAGGAGGCTTTAAATGTTCTCATTTCTGTTACTTAGAAGCAATGTAGAGAAACTAAAGTATGCTTGTGAAAGTAGTTTGTGTCATTAAAAATCTGGCTAAATTCTAGGAAACTCATGAAACTGATATAGGTAATATGCTTTTATTTTGGCCCTTTACTTCCTTGTGTACATGCTTTTAAGTTGTCTTTCATGGTATTTCTAAATGCTTATGGGACTTTCAGGATTGCATAAATTTAGGCCAAAAGATCCAACATATTGCAAAAGAGCATTCAAATCCCAAAAAAGGGATACTTCTAAGATTACAACAGCTTTTTCTTCTTAAAATAGACAGACACCCTGGTGTTACTTTTCTGTTCCAGTATCTAATTTTGAATCCTTAAATGAGTTAAATTGGTTTGATCTAGACATCTCTGCTTTCAGGTGTTGTAAAATAAAATTGGGAGGCATCTTCTGTTTACCTTGGGCCTGTGTTCTGTGCCATAGGAAGGCAACTATATCAACAAAACTAGCTAGGTTTAGCTGTCTGACCACCTCCTCATGTGATCAGCAGTGCTGGATAGGAAGAGACCTTGAGAAGTCTCCATTGACTGCTTGGTGACTGCTGGCAATAATGATGAGTAGCTTGGCAAATCATTTGATTCATTCTTAAGATCTAAATGCTTCTCCTAGAACTAGGGAAACTGACTATTCATTAAGCTAGACCACAGAAATAATTACACCAAACATGTGGTTGTGCTTGATGTCTTTTGAAGCATCAGTAAGTAATTCACTAGAAAGGACTGTTTCCAGCTTAGGGTGTTTTTCCTTGTTTTCCTTCTTTGTTGTTCTTCCCCTGCCCCCTCCCCCCTCTTTCTGAATGACTGGTCTTTATGGCTGGCTGACTTTATATTGAGGTAACAGTGGTGTGGAGGCATGGATAAATCCGTCACATAATTCTGATAATCCTCTCTCCTTTCCCCAACTATGTACGGTCACCTTGCACATTCTATAAATGCTCAAGTAACGTAACGTATGTAAAAGTAAGGAGCACATGGCCTTATTTTTTTGTGTAGCTGTAATATAAATCTCTTCATACTCTGAGACTTCTCTGTGGTAACACATGCGCATTACTTGCACAAAAATATACTGTTAATGTCATAAGGAATAAATTCGTAGGCTGTCACTCGGTTTTGTAAAGCAACTCAATGTAAAGGATACATGGGGGATGAGGGAAGAAAGTGCAGTATTCAGACTTTTCTAAAACCTGCTGTATTGCAAAATTCCTGTTGACTGCAGTGACTCAAAGGTGGGATCTTTGTATTCCTGTCCTGAACAGAGCTACAGAACCTGACTTGTCTTGATAGAAATTTTACTGCTGGCTTCAGTGGAAGCAGGGCCTGGGCCAAAAACCAATCACTTAATAAAGAACATTTAGGGCAGGGGAGGAAGAAAATCTGTTACCAACACAAACTTAAACTCAGGCTTTGACCTTCCCCATAACCTGGGAGGAAAATTCTTTTAGAGTAAGCGTGGCTGTTGGAGAGTGATTTCTTGTGCTAGTTATTCGCTGATTCTAAGGCTTGACTTGATGATATGAACCTGAATGCCTGTGGATAACTTGTAGATTGTATTTATATTAAAACAAATAAACTCACAGTCCTGTGTTGTAGGATGAGTAAGCTGGGTAACTTTAGGTTAGTGTAAGACACTCAAAAATCTTGATGCACCTTGCTTGATTGGGGCTGGACACTGCTGCTCAGGCTGTAGTGTGTAGGTTGGGCTGGAATTGAAAGTGGCATCCAGAGAACAAGTGAAGTGTTACCACCACCACCACAAGAAACTAGGAAACTCTTCCAGAGGCAGTGGGGAGAAGCGATGTGCATCTCTTCCCTGTCAAAAGAGGGAAGAGATCCTTACAGCTAGCTGGGCAATAGGGCACATCCTCTGCAGAGAATCCCAGACTAGTGTTTTTTTTTCCCCAAAGATGCTGCAGAATCATATCTTTTCTTGTGCCTCACTGAATGTTGCATACCCTCGATTTGCATTAGATTTTTGTCTTGATTGAATGTGAGTAGATACTTCCCAGCCTCAAGGTGTGGAACAAACTGGAGGAGGTTCGTCATCTGAGCTTAAAAAGAAGCAGGGTTGGGTGTTGAGGTGAAGAAAATCAAAATATAAAGGAAGCAAAGTACATCTTTATTGAAAGTGGAGGAGAGGTAATGGGAGGGAAATGGAAGGAAAAGCTAGACCATAAGCTTTTATAAGAAATAAAAACTGGAGCAATGCCCAGGAGGCATACAGAAGCAAGAATGATAAAGTAAATGAGGCTGTTTTAATTGATAATTAAAAGCTTGCAAGACATTATGTTCCTAACGGTTTCTTAAAGAAAAAAAAATTATTTCTAATTAAAAGTCCAGGAGACAGATGAACTTGTAACTGCATCTAGGTTTGGACATTCCTTCAGCCACCAGAACTCGGTAACAATGTGCAAATTCAAATTGTGGACAATCTTTAATGAACTGGAGCTTCATTGAAAAGATGTCTGCACACTGATATTGATGGATTAAGCATCAACTCTGATACATATATGTCATGGCTGCCCTCAGCTCACTTCTACAGGACTGGGCTGTTTCATCCTTTCCTTGCTGAGGTGAAAATATTTACTCACCCATAAAAAGAAACAAACATGAGTCAAGTCTTTGACTTCTGTGCTTCCTTAGTTCAAAGCAGCAGCAAGTTGGTACTGTGTTTTTTTCCTTTTACACTGTCTGGTACTTGAATACAGCTGAAAGTTGTTTGACATTATGCATATTATTAGAAAAACAAAAAAAAAATGTGTACAGCACTGTTTTCCAGCACTTCTTGCAAGTGTACAAGTAGTGAGTTTTCATTGTCCTTAGAATAGCAACTGTACACAGTAATAACAGACCTTTTGTGTATTCTTGAAATCAGTTGAGTTTCAGGAGTTTGTTGATAAGGTGTGAACTGTGATGGATGGGGAAGTGTTCACTACTCCCCTGCTGTGTTGCAAACAGTTAAAATAGAGGCATTTCTGCACTCTGGCTATGATGCAGAAAAATTGTTCTTTTAAAAAATGTACATATGGCTTCCCTGTAACCATCATAAATTTTCCCTCCAGGGTTCTGTATACTACTTTGTTCTGCAGTTCTTCCTTTCATTGCACAACTTGGTGACATAAAACTTTTCTAGAGAGGCAGGTAGCTTTTCTAGTTACAGGAGTGCGGAGCAGAATCAGTTGACCATTGTGCTGTCTGCCCTCATGCAGGGATTGCAAAGGGCTGGAAAATATCTGCAAATACATTTGGTAAAAAGTTGTAGGAAAAACATCCAAATAATATATTTTTCTTCACACGGCTCCTGTTCTTGTTTTGCATTTTTGCGCATAAACTTAGGTGTCTGCAAGAAGTGGTTTGAACAGCTGAAAGGTAAGGACAAGTAGAGTGTTGTAGGTCAGGTGATGGCACCAGAAAAAAATCATTTACCTATTCATACATTAGTTACAGTGTTTACAGGCACATGTATTTTATGATGCAGTTTTTTTGCTGGAGTTGCAAGCAAAGAAAGGAATAGAGAAAAGGCAGTTCTATATGCAGGAAAGGAGACTGGGAATTGTGACCCTGGCTGTATTGTGGCTTCTTGTACTAGACGAGGTTACTACATTTCTTGCAACTGTGCCCTAGTTTGTGTTTAGGAACAAGAACAGTGGTGGCTCACTGGGCTCTTTGGGGCCCCAGAGGTCTGGTGACTGCAGAGTTTGTGGTTCTCTGAATGAAGGCGGATTGATGTGGAATACTGATGCCAGTCTTGTTCCTTCCAAAAATGAAAACCAGACTTGTGCAACAATGCAGGAAAAGAGTTTTTCAGTCTGCTATGAATATCATACATGAAAGAAAGCAGTAATAGGGCTTTTCTGCTTATAGTATATCAGCTGTTAAATATAGCACAGAGCTATAAAAAGCAGAGCAAATTCTAGTATGTCTTTTATATGAGGGATGGACTTTATAAAACTTCTATGCTTAGTGCTTGAAAAAGAACCTTTGATTAGTTTCCTTTGTTCTGTCCTTACAAAGCTGGTGGGCAGACTGGAGAGTTCATAGAAACAAGGATTTTGTCTGTGGTTTTGCACTGATGCCAGAGGAGTTTTAGTCTTAGATTTGTGTTGCTTGCTTGTGTCTTGCAAGTTATCTCATTGATGCTTACCTATTTATAAAAGTGTAACATGGATGAGACAAATACAGCTGGGTATTTGGCTTAAGGGAGAATAGAACTTTTGACAGTAGGGGTCATGAATCTGCTAATGACTTGTCTTTGTATAGCAGGATTCTGGTTCATAGCATGTTTGTTTGTGCATGCTGTATGTGTCCTAGATTGTATTTGGTCATGGCGTATCTAACTTATACAGTAAGATGAGGAAATTGACACTGTACAGCACATAACCTAGAAAAAGGTCATGGTTCGGATAGAATCTTTCCTTATTTTGACTAGCTACGTGTAACAATAGTTGGGTTTTAACAAAATAAATCCTCTAATGAATGGTGACTTAGTGGAGTCCATACAATGTCCATTGTAAGAGAGAGTGCATGAAGCATTTATTATGTTAATGACTTGTATATCTCTTGACAAGAGCTTTTGCTCTCAGTCTAATAGCAAGAAATTGCTGAAATTCAAGATATTTGCAAAGTAGCCTTAAGATTTTTTTAATATTTCTTTAAAAATATTTTCCCCCAATTTGTGCTTGTTATTTTTATTTGTTGGCCTAATGATTCAAGTCTTTTATGCTGCATTTGTGTAATTGTCATTTGTGTAGCCATGTGGTAACCAAGAAAAAAATATGAAGGGATTGCAGAAGTTACAGGAGGAAATACAGAAACAGGAAGAAATTATTTCCACTTGTCTATTGTCCTATGAATAACTGGATCTATAGTGAGGTCTTTGAGATGGCTGGTTTGGGTTTTTTGGTCTTATTTCTTTTCTGTGGTCCCAAAATTTGAGGACTAGCAAGTATAACAAAAGGCCAGACCCAAACAGTAGAATGGCTTTCAGTTAAGGCAAGTTAGAGCTATGTACAAGTAGAGAACAAAATTAAGGGGAGAGATTTAAATAGCTCAAAAGAATGTAACCTATTGGCCATGCCCGTTCACAGAAATATCTTTCCTCTTGATAGTGACTTAGTATAGCTTCCAGAACTAAAAATAGGATGTAGTTAGTCTTGTAAATTTTCTCCATTAGCTGTTATAAAAACATCCTGCAATATGCAAATGTTTGAGAACCAACTCTGTGTTGTATAACTCCCTTTTGTTCCTAGTTCTTTGTTGCTTTTTCTGCTAGAAAGTGGAGTTAGGTAAGACTGACTTTGCAGGTGTGAGGATGCAAATAACCTCAGGGTTTAGATGGTCACCTTTATTTTTAATCCCTCTCTTCTCCCTAACACAACTCTAAGCTCAATGTCATCTGGAAAGGAGACTTTCTACAGATCGTCACTGTATCCTATTTCAAGAAAGGGATGTGGTCTCTAATTCTAGTAAACAAAATGCTGTGACAAATAGACATGTCTGTTTAAGTACAGTCATGGGTGACCTGTGAGATCTCGGAGAAAATGTCCTTTTTAAGATCTTATCATTTTCTGCCTTCTGTAACAGTTATTTTCATGAACGTTTTGTTGGGGGCATGGGCCTGACAATATTTTTGTTTTCATTTTTTTATGTTGTTTTTCATATAACATGGGAAATACCCTGTTTTTCTTGAGGTATTTTAAAGTGTTTATCATAATTTAAGGAAACAGTGTTCTTAGATTACTGATGACATATACTAAAAAAATGCAAATCTTTTAAGCATGATGCACTGCATGTTTAATGCATATTAACATAAGCATGTGTACTCTGAAAGCCTTTACATATCTTGTTCTTTAACTGAAGTTTCTTGATCTTAACACTTCTGTTGAATATTTCATTAAATTGCTGGGAAATGTAGTTGAGTGATGAATTAAAGCACTTTGCATCCTGAGGAATGCTGCTGTGCAGGCATGTTTCATACTGTCCAAAAACTGCAGAATGTAACTCCTCTTGGAATGGTGGTGAGGGGAAAGAAATTTATTACTTTGGAATACTGAGGAGGGGAGAAATGCTTCCTGCTTGCAGAGCAGGGACTATCTCAAAGGCAGAGGAACTAAATGACATTACTGCACATCACTGTTTTGGGAGGTACCCATTGTCAGGCAGATAGCAAACTAATTCAGGCTTCGTGCTTAGACAGATCTTTGTACTGTTTAAATAGCATGATGTGTTACTATTAAAGTGATAAAAATGCTTTAGCAGAGCCTTTTGTCATTCTCAGTGTTGTATTATACTAGGAGATGTTTGTTTATTGATTTCTTGTTGTTCTTTTCCAGATTGCTGATTTACAGCTCCATAAACTGGATGAATTGGACTGTTTGATCCAGGGCCTCCTTTATGTTGATTCTGTTGGTTTCAATGGCCAGCCAGAGTGCTATTATTTTGAAAATCCTACAGATCCTGAACAGTGCCAGAAAAAGCCTTACTGCCTTGATAATCCATATCCTATGCTGCTGGTTAATATAGGCTCAGGGGTCAGCATCCTAGCTGTGTATTCTAAGGACAACTATAAGAGAGTCACAGGATCCAGGTAAATTTAATTCCATGTTCTTTTAATTCTATTTTCTCCTTAATAATTGAACAGATAGAACCAGACAGTGTGAGTAGTAGGTGCAGCCCCAAATTGTGCTTGTCTTCCCATTTTTTTTAGAAGTCCACCAGTAGCAAGGCTGGAAATATCCTAGGATTCCTTCAGACAGGGGGTCTACGTCAGGGAAATCATTGATCCGTTCAGCTTTAGAGCTGCCTTTAGTCTCTTCTTGGTGTTCTTACCTACTTCCTGTGTCTTGATGTGGATTACTGAAATAAAGCTGTCCCAGTAAATTAATCTTCTCTCCCCTACTTTGATCCCCCAGACCAACCAGAGTAGTGAAATAAAAATGTTTGGGCTAAACACTTGCTTAGTAGTTAGGATGTATCCAGGATCTAGGAAAACTTTGTAGAATTACCTGCTAATACTGGATTTTGTCAGAGGAATCTTACTAGGTCTCTTACTTCCTTACTGATTGCACTAGTCTTTTGACCGTGATGGTGAATTAAGGAATGCCAGCATGTAAAGACTAGGTTCTGTTTGTATTCTTAATTTGTCTTCAGTATGATTTTAGCCTGGGTCAGCTAGTGCTCTCTGAAATGATTTGTAGGGTACAGCTGAGTTGAAATGGTCTCTGGCCTATGTTCACTAAGAGATTTAGATGTAACTGCTCTGTTTAGGAATTACAGAGTTCAGTAGTATGGACGCAGAATTTTCTTTTCAAGGCCAAAAACCAGCCTGGGATATGTTTAAGTTTACTGTATAGATGTGGCAATAGTCCTTATTTATAGGAAACCACTGTAGTTACAAATATGTCCATCCAGACTGGTAGTAAAAACAACAATAAATCTATCTCACTTTTTCCTCATATATGCAAACTAAATTGATATACTTAATTTTTAATGGTCTTTGTAGTCTTAAAAACAAACAAGTTACCAAACAGGAACTTAAAAAACCCCTTTCCAAAACGATAATTGAAGAAACTTTTTGGATTTGCTATAGACCTTTCCAAAGCTGCATTCGGTTCTTCATTGCATGGTACGTAGTAATAAAGTTTTTCCTGTATATTGCACATGACTGCATGTGTGTCTTCTGTTGCCTTACCTAGGACATATCTTTGCCACAATGGTAGCCTTGAGCCATTTTTCTGTATACAATACAGATAAACACAAGTTGAATGGAAGAGGTATTGCATATGTATTTTTGCTCAGTTCTGGTTGGTTTTCAAGTATGGTCCTTTTAATATCTGTAGATGTGCTTCTGATCCTTTCCACTAAGAAAGGAAAAACATGACTGCAGTGGGTTGCTGGTTTGTTATACATGATGAAAACAATACTGTCTTATGGCTGGTGTGCAGAGCTTCCTGCTCTTCAGATGGTGACTATATTACAGTGCTATTAGATGTGTTCTGAAAAACTTGCCTGATAATCTTAGAGCACTGACTGAGTGGTGTTCGTATCTGACCTGTGCTTTTTCATGAAGTGCAAGTGTGGTGTCTCACTGATCCTCTTGTTTACAGTGGCTCCAGTTGGTGTGACTGCAAGCAGTGCAAATAAGCTAACTTCCTCAAGGGTTAAGAAAGAATGAGGAAGGATGCAGAAGTTAGTAAGTTGAAGTTCATGTCAGTTAAGACTGAAGAGTTCAAAGTAGAATTTTAATGAAATGACTTAGCAACCTGTTATGCACGATTGAATACTCCCTGCTAAATTTAGATAGTTAGTAAATATTGTACTTGAGCCTGTGCAAGATATTCAAGTAAATGCTCCTTGCTTGGAGTTCTTTGGAGGGCTGAGACACTCAGGACTGACGCTAACCTTGCTTTGAACGGGAACCAACCAGACTGCTTCTTGCCACTGGCTAGGGGGACAAGATGGCTTGGCTGCCTGCCCCTGCGTAGATATTTAGCTTTGGTTGCTGTTTATTCTTTCATTTCTGGCTTAGGTGATCTTCTGACAATTATTCTTGCACAAAGAAAATTTGCTAGAGTGCTACAAATAGTAGACTGACGTCTGAAGTGTTGGATTGGGCCTTATTCTCAGATAACCATTCATTTAACATCATTTTTCCTATTTAAATATTAAGGACTTAAGAGTATTTCAGTTAAAACCGTGCTGGATGAGATTTGTGTTAAATAGAAACTCAATTTAGGGTGTCTGTCTTCACTTCTCTGAGAGAGGAGTTGCAAGATACAGTTGGTAGCTACATAGACCATGTTGCAAACAAGAGTCTGAAGAGCTATGGTAAAAGCTGGTTCAAGGTCTGAAGGAACTGTGCTTTTCTAGTCTTGGAGGAGGAACATTCCTGGGCCTGTGCTGTCTGCTGACTGGCTGTGAGACGTTTGAAGAAGCACTAGAAATGGCCGCAAAAGGAGACAGCACCAATGTGGATAAGCTGGTGAAAGATATTTATGGAGGAGACTATGAGCGGTTTGGCCTTCAAGGGTCTGCTGTAGCCTCAAGGTATGTGTTAATGGAGCTGTTTTTAAGGAGTTCCTTGGGAAGCTTACTGCTCATGCTGAACTGAGTGCGTAAGCCCTGGACTATGTACTGTGTCCATGTGGAAATGTCACTCTGAATGTATCATGGTTTGTCCTTAGATCTCTCACCTACTTCTTGCCTTTTTTTTTTTTTTTAAGATATAAGCAATGCTTGATGTAGTTTGCTTCTGTTCATAGTTATTTTAAAAGAAGTGGTTTTGCTCATTGTTCTGCCTTTCCAATGAGATCCCTTTTCACATTTCAAATCTGTCTCAGATCAGTGGATATCAAATCCAAGCAAAGCTTATTCAATGATAAAATTTCTAAGGGCTTTTAGTACTCCTAAATAACTCATATTAAAAGGAATAATCTTCCCCACACAGCTTTGGTCATATGATGAGTAAAGAAAAGAGAGATTCCATCAGTAAAGAGGACTTGGCCAGAGCTACTTTGGTCACCATCACCAACAACATAGGTTCTATTGCTCGCATGTGTGCATTGAATGAGGTAAGATAGATTATTTACTATGAGCTTAAAACCTTTAGAAACAGAATAGTAAGATTATCACAATACAAAAATGCAAATTGCTGGTGTAGTAGGTCTGTAACTGGCCTTCGTAAATATGCATATGTTTAATGTGCTGTCCCAGCTCTTGTGATTTGTGTTATGTGTATGCTTTGATGCAAAGTGTAAGGTACTTTGAGATTCAAAGGTAGGGAAGAAGGGAGAAAAGTTGACTGTAAAGGTGGTCTTGAGCCATTGGTGCCTAGAGCTGTGTAGTTGCTTTCTAGCTGTAATACATCGATATTAACACTTTTATAACCCAAATTAATACTCTTAATTACCTTGTAGTTATTAGCAGATCTTACTATAGCATGAGAGATTGCTTTTTTTTTTAAATAGTATTTTGCTTGGCTTGTTTCCATAGCATGATGGGTTTGAATTGTGTTTTATGTTAAATGTTTTGTTAGATATAAGATCCATTGTATTGAGTCAGAGAGAAGAGAAATATAGTTCATTATCCTGCCTCAAACTATCAGATGCTTGTTACATTCTTTCCTGTAAGCATGATAACTGTGGATGGATTGTTCCATTTATATACCTTTCCAGCTTCCAGCAGCTTTAAAAAAAAAAAAAAAAGACTCAAACATTTGGTGACTTGTTTTGAACTGTAAATCGCATTCTTTACTATCATGTAGTAACTAATCTCTTTGATCTCAATGAATTTATGTAATATTTTTTTCATACATAGATGTTTTTAGCTCCACAGCATTCTGTGGTTAGAAGAAAGTGCTGCTTTTTTTTTTCCCCAATTGAACACATCCACACAGCCCCAAAAATCCCCAGCAAAACAAAAGCAAGAAACTCACCAAACTGCCATCTGATTTCTTTATTGGGTCCTATCTAGCTTTTTGCTTCATGAGAAGTAGCAAATAATTCATCACTAGTGCTTTTGGTGGGTTTGGGTTTTGTTTTTTAATAAACCTTTACCACATCTTCTTCTTGGTCTTTCCAAGAAGTACTAATACTTAGTGTTGTCTCCTGTGGAAGACATTCTGTGTCTCTTCTCCACTGTTCCATTTTGTCTTTTTAATTGTTTATGGTTCTAATTTTGAGATTAAATGATCAGATTTTCATGCAGTATTGAGAGTGTGATTGCCCAATGAATTTATGTGATGGCATATTGATAAATTTCATGTTCTGGTTTCCTTTACTAACAGTTCTTAATATTTTATTTTTGTGAGCATGGAGCTCATATTTTTGAGAAACAATCAAAAGCAGTCCCTCCACAGTCTTTTTGGAGTGATGGTGGCTAATTTGGAGCCTATCATTGTGTCTGAATACTGAAGTCTCTCTGTCTCTTTCCCCTTCCATTTGTGTCATTTCACTTTTTTAACTTCATCTGCCATTTTATTCCTCAGTCACTGGGTGCGTAAGTCTCTTCAACATTGCTATGCTGTTCATTTTACATTCTGACTCTCTGGAATAACTTTGTTTGCCAATAAGTGTTACGTTTGCTAATACTCCTCTCTAGAGCACTTTTAAAATATGTTGAACAGTACAAGTCCTAGTGTATGCCCCTATCAAATGCCACTGATAGCCTCCCTTCATCATGAAAAGTGGCTACAGACTTTTTTTTTTTGGCAATTTGACTATTTCAATGAGGATGATTCTCTTTCAGTGTTCTCTTTGCTTTCAGCTTCTTTACAGTGTTGCCTTGTGGCATGGAGTTCAAGCAGCATTGTACAGGGCTATCAAAGCATGGAGAGTTGCAGCAGGGAACCACATGCGATGCATTCAGAGGAGGAAGTAGGCCACTAATGAAACTAATGCTTCTGAATCATTGTGAAAAAGTTCCTAACATCTTTTTTTTGTAGGCAGGTTTACTTAAAAAGTGGACATGATCCATAGAACTTTGCAGAGGAATGTGGATTGATGTGTGAAGTATTATGCATTTCACAGACAACGTCCAAGTAGAATTTCTCCAGCACTTGAACTAAATTATTTTGTACCTTTAGATATTGAAAATTTAATTTAGTAGCTTTACATACTCTTAAAAAAACAGATCAAACATGATATATCATATCTGGAGATGAGCTTACTTGCTAGCTTACTCTCGAAGGAAAAAAGTAATGCTATCATTCTGCTAAGTAATCTAGACACATAAATTGCCTTTGGGAGGTCTGGCTCTGACTCTCACCAAGCTTGATGAATGAAATGCACAAAGAAGAGCTTAAAAAATAGTTGAATATGATATATTGTTTTGTGGAGTTTGTGTGTATTACATTAGGGTTGTGATGAAGCTCACTTTCAGGTTCTTAAACAAAATCAATTTATGCCCTGAAGCATGAGTTTTGATAAGTTGGTGGTTTTTGGTTTTTCAATTATTGCAGCTTTAATATTGTGTTGAAAATTACTTGCATATGTGCAGGAAAAAATGAAACTGGGGAATAAATGAAATATTCTGTCTGCAGAACTTCAAAGCAAAGCTTGCTTGCACAAAGTTGGCAGTGGGGTAGCAAAATTCCGTAGTCTGGAACCATTTGGCTACACATCATTTGAAACAGTCTGTCTTTGGCACAGCAGAACTATATAAAGGAAACCAATCTCCCTGGTTTATATTTTTTTTTACTAGCAGAACATGTAAGTTGCATCTGAACAAGGCTTCTTGCAAAAGTATGTGCATATTTTTTTTATCGCATCTTTGATATAGATTCCCCTATTCAATTTTATCAGCAAATCTGTATATGTACTATATTAAAACTATACTATAACTTTGTGCTGCAGGGTAGTTGAACAATTTAGTAAGACCCCACAGAGTAAAAGAGTGCACGTCTTTTCCAGGACGTTGTCATTTGGTTAGCTTAAGTAAGCATTTCATCACCATCCCTTCATCAGTTTAGGACTTCTGTCCATCAGCTTTGAATATTTCATCAGTGAACAGTTTCAAAGTAAATAGTCAAGACTCCCTTAAGAGATAAAACTATCATTTCTTCATTTTCCAGCTTCTGAAAAATGCTAAAGCTGGTTTTAGTGCAGTTCAAAAATCTAGGAAACTTTACATCTTGAACGTAATTTTTAACTTTGTCAAATCAAGGAACGTTGAAAAATAAAATGGATATGAAATTTGCGTGTTGGTATACACTGCTATTTAGGAGATATGACTAGTATTTTTAGATTTAAATTTTTCAGTAATTTTTATACTCAGTGTTAAGTACTGCTTGGTTGAATGTCTGTTAACAGTAGCTTCACCTGTATACTCAGCAAAAACAAAGTAATGAAAATTAAATTCAAATACAGACTAATCAATTTGATGGTATTTGCATTACAGGAAATGAATTAGTTATGTGATTGTCCTTCCTTTGTCAGAAATTACTTCAGAGACAAAACTACCTTGTCAGAGGATGCAAAGTGCTCTTGGCCATGTTTAACAGCAGCCTTTTGAAAATGGAATTCTTACTTTCAGTCATATAAGTTCCTAGGAACAAGTATGAATGCATGCTGATGTGACTGCAGAGTCTAAGGGGATATATGACTCTCAACCTGAATTATTTAAATAAAGTGTTTGGTTTGAGGGCCATCAGACACTTAACTCAGTCATCAGAGACTGGATAAATGAATTATTGCATCTGGGAATCAGCAATGTCCAATGCTGAGTGCTCAAGTGAGGATGATCTCTGTGGCATGTCACATGCATAATGCTGGACGCAACAAAATTGTTGACTGTAGCAAGGTAATTGCTGCAGAACCAAGTGTTGGGCTTTATAGTGCTGTATAAATGTGGAGAGGTGATATTTGGTAATTCTAGCCTCTGTGCAGATTTTTGGTGGTAACTTTCAGCAGAGGACATGTGAAGATGCATTTCTAGGGCTCCTTCAAGACTCCTGTAAAAGCTTGTTTTCAGGATTTAGCTGCCTACTGAATCTTCTAGACCAGTTCTAGTGTATGGTGAATGTTGTGGTACACCAATTCAAAATGCAAGTGCATTTTAGTGCATAACAGGCAAACTGAGCTTGGTAAGATAGTTATGGGCATTGTTTAAGCACCAGAACTGTTGCTTATGGGCATTGATGTGCGTACAAGTGAGGACAGTGTGTAGCTTTCTCACTGACAGCGTAGTGCTGGTTGTTCAGAAAACTTAAGCTTCTGTATGAAAACTGAGTTCAAGTGAGCTTTGAAACAAAGGAGTGAAATATATGTTTCACTTGCCATTTGAAAATGTAACCCTTGTCCAGATAATAGATAATGAAACTTGCTTCTTCCCATGTCTAGCGTGGTCCTTCTCAGATACTCTTCAGAGGTTCTCCATCTGGATTTAATAATCACAGTGATCTCTGGGAAGTTACTTCATTTAACAAGCAGAGGGAAAAGATGTCTTCAGTGCAACCACGTCATACACAATTTTTAAAAAATCCCCAAAGCATCAAAACAGTCATAATCCTGTTCATGTTGGGAAGGTCCTGGCCTTTTAAGCAAATATACACCATCTATATCAGCCTCTCATTTTCTTTGGAATAAAACTATGTTTGTTTTGTTTCGTTTGGGTTTTTTTTTTTTTTTTTCTTGCAACATCTCTACTTAGCGCTCAGTAACTGTGATTATTCTTATGACTTTTCAGTCTGGAGAATTTAAATGTAACCCAAAATGCCCATTTAACTTATAGTGGAGGCAGAAGTACATGTTGAATGAGGCAAATAATATAGCTAAGTATAATTATTGCTGGTCTACTTTTCAATTTTACAGAACATCGACAAGGTGGTATTTGTTGGCAACTTCCTCAGAATTAATATGATTTCTATGAAGGTGCTAGCATATGCTATGGATTATTGGTCCAAGGGACAGCTGAAGGCTCTGTTTTTGGAACATGAGGTAAGGAAATACATGTTGCCCTTACTTTTATTTTAAGTACAAAAATCTTGTAGTTCTTGACTTGGTGAAGTTAAAAGGGAGAATTTCAATGCTGTTGTTTAGAAGTGAATGCACAAAGTAAGTTCTCCATGAGTATAGTTTAATTACAAATTCATTTGAAAATATGCCGTGTTAACTCCCTGGCTTGGTCACTAATCTCATGGTACTTGTTGCTAAATGTTGCACATCTCTTATTTTTGCTTTCTGATGCTAGTACCAACAATGTTCATTTGCATGGTCTGGTATATAAGCTTCAACTAGAATCGATTTTTTTTTTTTTTTTTTTTTTTTTTTTGTAAGCACAATTTTGAGGATTTTGACAGATGGATGTGTTCATAATGGAAACTGCCTAGCCTTAGTACAGCATCATTACAGTAGTTCTGTAATTTCTTCTTTTTGACAGTTTTGGAGAACTGTGTAAGATTTCTCTCAGTTTAAGGCCCTTTCTTGGATCTAAACAAGATCATGTTAAATCATAATTCAAATCTATCAAATACTTGGCACAGCAAGGCTGATCTTAAAAGAAAAGTCTTTTAATTGCCTTAACAGAACTGAAGAAATCACATGCTTATACATACATCTTATTTGATTGGCTTTGTTTTGCTTTTGCCTTGTTTGAAGGGTTATTTTGGAGCTGTTGGGGCTCTTCTAGAATTGCTTAAAATGACAGATGATCAGTGATGAAGCTATCTGAAGAGATTCCTACTGCAGATGCTGCTGGATAAGAGTGAAAGCCACTACAAGGATGGAAATAGAAGCCATTATGGTAGTTCTACCTGCTGGATTTGTAAATAATTTAAAATTCTTCTAGCTGATCTTTAACTTCTGGGTTTTGACCTTATACTTCAGAATTCATACTGGGAATAATGAGATTTTTTTTTTCTGTACACTGTATTTTTTAGGGGAAAAATGTGCAAAGTGGCCAAACATACAGATTTTATGAGTTTATTTTAAAAAGTGGATACTGTTTAATGTAGGACCTGTGCTATGAAGCATCTGCTTTTCTTCTGGGGTTTACTGATCAGTGTGGTAATTTTAACTTCATTTAGTAATCACTCTAGGAGATTTTTTTATCTTATTTTCATGACGTTTCATGATTTGTTCTTGGTTTCAAATGAAACTACAAAGCTGATGCGTTTTACTGTGAAAACTAGTCACTGATTTTTTGCCTTTCCTTTCCTCATTAGATGAGACACTTTTTTATTTAACATACCCCCACCCTTCCAAAGAATAAATGTACAAGCTTTCTATGACTACATGGGTTTCTTGGCAAGACTGCAAGAAAACTTGGCGGGGGCAGGGGGTTTAAGATTGTAATTTTTTAGTAGTCATGACTTGCAACAGGAACAAACTGCTAACTGGTTTTGCAAGACTAATTCTCTTCTACAGTAAAAATTTCAAGCAAGAAGCATACTAAAACTTGAATTATTGGCTTGACACTAAAATTAAATCCTGTTTCTGTTGAAAATCTCTGATCTATATGAAGAATTCTGTACTACAGATGTTATTTATATGGTCCATACTTGGCATTAGATGACAAAGGGAAGAGATTGTTTTCATTTGTTTGAAGACTGTTCCGTAGTCTGCAGTTTTTAACTTGATCTTAATCAAAAACAACTGATAACTGTGTTATTCAAAGCCCAGTTTCTAAAACTACAAAAACACTGACTAATCTATTTTCTGGTTTTAAGTTAATGTTAGCTTTCACTCCAGGACACTAAGATTCAAGTGTTTATTCTAATACGGTATTTTCTGCCTTTTTCTTATTTGTGGACCTCTCTAGATTTTTTTTCTTTTCATATTGAATTGAGGCTCCTTTGAAATCTATGTACTTAGATTGCTGCATAGCATGTATAAACATGTTTTTCTTGGACACCGTGAGGGCTCACAAATCAGAGGCTGAAAACCAGTCCATAAATTATTTTGTCTTGCAAAACTATATGTGATGTCACATAATGTAAAGGGCTCATCAGAGGGACATTATAAAATTCAGACACATGTGTTATCCAGTATATTTTTAGAAGGGGCTTTCTTTCACTTTTTTAATAGTCATTAATTTCCGTATCTCCCAAATGTTGAAATAAATTAATATTAACTGATGTGTTAACTTGTCTGATGGAAATAAAGACCACTACTGTTTTGACGGTTTTAATGTATCTGTGGAATTCATTTATTGAAATCAATTATGTGAAATATATAACACTATTTTATGACATACATGACTAGTTATTTCCATGATAAACCTTTGGTTCTTGACAGTTTTTTACTCTTCATGATTTTGCTTTGGTCTTTGAGGCTTTTTGTCTGTCTGAAGTTGACTTTTTCATGGAGTGCAAACTTCAACATGAGACAATTAGCATGCTGGAGTTGATATTTCATGTAATACTGAGTTTGAGATGAGTGGGCATAGTTCTCCTCGGGGCCTCTAATTTTTCCTGAACAAAATGAAACTTTCATTAATCTTATTTGAGAAGTTTTGCTGCAACTAAAGTTTGGTTTGTATGTTGGTGGTTTGGTTTGGGTTTTGTTTTCTGTTTTGTTTTGTTTTGGGTTTTTTTGTTGTTTTTTTTTTTTTTTTTTTTAAGAAAGATTACAATGCTAAGAGCTAACTGTGCTTCTTATGATAAACAGTAGAGGGAAGCAAAACATTGACAATGAAAACAGGTTTTGCTAAAGCAGTTGTGCTTGAGGCAATTTGTCGGGTGTGTTGGTGTGATGCAGAGAAATCCATCTTTTTCTCTGTGGTCAATTTTTGAAGGGAAATCAATAGGGGAATATCTATCATGTAGATGTTCTTGCATTCTTAGCATTTATAGTTATGTGAAGGAAGAATGTGATGTTAAGTAAGCAAATATGAAATAGCACTACTTCTAAGATTATAATCCTCTAGTCTTCAAAAAAAAAAAAAAATTAAACCTTGGCAAGTCATTCAGAGAAATATATATGGACTATGCAAGATGCACAAATTGAGGCTGCGTGGTTGAAGGAGGAAAGCACAATTCTCTAGCCTTAACGTTAGCTGTAAGATTTCAGGGACTGTCAGGTAAGTTGATCACAGCAGTTCTAAGAAAAGCACAAAATAAAAATTTAACTTGAAAATGCTGATTTGAAATTTAAAATGCTTAATAGGCAAGTTGCTGTAGATCAAATAGCAGGGAAAAAATACTCTGAAGTGTGTACTACAAAAATTAGTACATTTTGTTGGGAAAAATATTAGCAAACTAAATTAATAGGATGGAGAGCTATGAGAAATCACTACTAAGTAGGAGAAATTAGAGGACCCTGGTCTAAGAGGAAAAGGACATTGTAAGTTAAATTCTTCTGTTCTTGAGGGAGAAAAGCCTAATTCAGAAATATTTCTTTGTTACCTTGAAATCTACAGTTGACTTTTTTTTTCTCCTTTCCTACTAGCACCATCATAGGAATTTGCTCCTACTGTAATGTCCATCCTTACCTTCAGCCTTTGCCCACCTTCACTAGTCCCAGTTTTTGTTGTCTTCCCATGTCCCTCCTCCATAGTTAAGGTAATGGACGAATGACAGTGTGATTGATTCCTAGCACTGTTCCAATATTTTTGGTATAGGTGAGCTTTTTGGGCCTCTTCTAAGAGCATTGCTGTTGTCTTGAATTTTTTTGATTGTGTTTTGCATACAGTTGCTGGCTATGGTCATCTGATGGAAGGGTTCTTTGTCCTGCTTCGTCATCCAGAGATATCTGAAGAGTCTAAAAGTCTTACTCAGCTACATAGATGAGCTTCTACTTCAGCTAGTACAAACTGGAAACTTGAGCAAGCAAAGTTGTGTTGCACCACTATCAAAGAGTTTTATCGAGAACCTAGAATTACACAGATCTTTGAATCTTTTTGTTTTCGGAATGGTGAGGGTGAAGAATCAGACTTCCCTAAAGAAGATCAGTGAGTTTGCAGATTTAGTATGTATTCAAAGCACTTGTTTCTGTATAAATTAATGAGATCTCTTAGCAAACTTGGCTGTGTTAATCTAGCTTGTCTTTCTGGAACATGGTAAGGTAATTATTAAGGTAAATTGGAGCAGAATGAGTGGGATTCCTTGTTCTGGATTGTGATGGCTTGCGCCAAGGCCTGTTTCTTTTGGACTCGTTTGTTCTTGCTGAAACACATGCTGCTACTCCTCATTCTCTCCCCCCTGCTGAGGCACCCCAATTTTTAATAGGTTTGACAAAAAGTCTAAGTCCCATAGGAAGAAGGGTCTATGTTTTAAAGTTTTTGGACTAAATCACTGGGGAAGAGTCGCTAATGCTGGCTGAACAGTGAGAGATGACTAAGAGTATTTTCTTGATCAGATTTGATAGGGAAGACCAGCATGAGGGGGGACAGTACAAGGATCTGACTTCTAGGACAAGTGGAATGTTTGCAGTGCATTCCATCCTCAGCAAAGCTGTCCTGGTGTTTGACTGTCACAAGATACTTGCAAGTGATTTTTGGCAGAACGCAGCAGAATTTTAGAAATGGGAAAGCCATATGGGGTTGAAGTGGTGACAAAATAAATATACATGGTTGTTTACAGTCGGATGAGTTCTTCTACTGGGATCTGTTGTTTAAAGTACAGGGTGTCTTTGAGTTTGGGATTAAATGAATTACAGGTTATGAAAAAGACCACAGTCTGTTTTCTGTCTTGCTACCTCTCAGTACCTGAAAGGTAGAATGCATCTGATATCTAGGATGTCTTGGAATATAACAGCTTGTTTAAACCTAAAAACTGAATCCAATACTAATTCTTTTAAGTATTCATGGTGCTGACTGGAACTTACTAGTTGCATGATTATTAGCGTGTTTGGAGAAAAAGGGGTGTAGGGACTGTGTAATAAGAGTCTGTTCTTTATACCTCCCCCAAAAAAATCCCAACAAAAGGAAACAATAAAAATTTTGGTTCTAATGGTAAAAGGATAACCTGTCAACTATCTTGGGAATTGAGACTGACCTCAAGCAAGAGAAGGTACTAGCACTTGGAGAGGTGGAAGAGAAATGAGCAAGAAAAGCTGAAGCTCACTAGAGGAGAAGCTACTAAGCCTGGGAAAGGGACATGGCAGCATCATCGGTAGAGGTTTCTGGGGGTGACATGAACAAGGTTGGAAGAGCACTGCAGGGCAAGCAATAAACCAGCTTTTTGTTAGTACAGGCAGTGAGAGATGAGTGGCAGAGGTGGGGAGGTCAGGTGGTTTGACAGAATATGGCAGGTAGCATGTTGCCCGAATTCAGAGGTGAAGGGAGGATGTGGTGGATGGTCCTGAGCTAAAGCGGTTAATGGTTACTACTCGGGTCAAGCACCCCTGTGTGAAGTACCCAGAGACCTGTGCTGAAGCATGTTAGGTCTCAGTCTAGATGCAGGTGTGCTCTCTAGTGCAGGCAATAGCCTGGCCTCAAACATTGCTTGTTGCGGTACAAGAGACACACAGTAGGGGATGTGCTGGCCTCTGAATAATTTTTTTTTTTTTTTTTTTTTAACATCAAAACCAGTTCTATTGTATTGGCAGGGACACAGCAATCTTCTGCTGGCTTTCAGCATTTTGCTTTGTTGTGCACAGCTGTGCAAAGCAGCTGGTTGCAGCAAGGGGTCAGCAGCCTCCTGCAGTTTCCCCCAAGGTAAACCCCAAACTGCTTACAACCTTGTGGTGCAGCCAGCAGAGACCCCAGAGCAGAGTGCTTTGGTCCTGCGTGCTTTATTTCTAAACAGTAGATGCAATTATGAAGCATCACCAAGTTAAAGGATGAATTGAGGCAATGAAGGAGGGCAAACAGCCTGAAATGGCATCCTCTTGTACTTAAAACACCAGTGTGTCACTCAGTGTTAAGTGGTTTTGTTTGTTTTGTTGTGATGATCAGGGCACTTCCAGGTTCAGAAGTGTCTTTCCAAGTTGACAGCTTTTTTCCAGTTTTTTGGATGGATGACCCATCCATCTCTCTGCAAACTTAATGTTCACATTTGCTCAAACTTTTGTGTCTAGTACAAATCAGAAGCTACCCTTTAACAAATGCTATGATGTACCAAAGCAGCCTTGACTATGCGCATACAGAGCTGAGTTTACTCCTGTTAGTGACATTCCATTTGTGCCCGTCTGTGAGGATGTGGCCTCAGCTAACCATGTTATCACTTCCTTGCATGATATGTTAGAATGATTTCATTTTTTCCAAGTGGCATACTTCTTTAGCTTTAATTCTTTTGTAAGAGAAACTATACCTTGTGAGGGAATGCATATTCTCATCTGCCTTGAAAGCATTGAGGAAAAAGTGCTTAGATCAAGACAGAGCCTCATCAAGAACAGCCACTGCTTTGATAATGCCAAAGATTGTCGCAACAGAGACTTCAGTGCTTCAAGCAACAGGATGGTATGGCCACTGGTATGTTGAGACTTGGTTGGGGTTTTTTGTTGGGTTTTGGGTTGGTTTTGGTTTTTTGTTTGGTGGTTGGTTTTTTTTTTTGTGTTCGTATGTGTTAGCCCATTGCACAAAATAAAATAGCTGCTCTCAGCTTTTAGGAGGTGAATTCCCAATGCTAGGTTGAGTGGAAGTGGGGATGTGTGTGCTGGTAAGAGTGCAGAAGTTCATGCCTCAATCCTGTAGCAAAAATATGCTGATCAAAGTCTTCTCTCCTACAAGCTTTTATAATAGTTGCATCAGTTGGGAAATTGCAATTGAAGTATTCTTGTGCAAATCAGAAAATTATTACCAACTGGCAGATGTAATACTGTGGTGAGTATTTTTAGCTACTCTACTGAATCTGCTCCCTCTGCCTTCCCACTGGCATTACCCCATTGATACCCCGGCTGTCAGTGTACCCTCAGCCCAGCATGCGACTGAGGTAGTGCAGTAAATGTGGACTGTGAACATCTGCTTTGTGAAATGCAGTAGTTCAATGTGGGCAAGGCAACTGAAGCTATGAGAAACTTCTCCTCTGAGAAGGTTGCATAGGCTTCACTTGGAGATTGATATAAAAAATTATTGTTGTAAATGATTTGAACATTGAGAATGCTCTCCTGTATCTGGAAGTTATTTTTACTTTTTTGGTGTTTTTAAAAATTATCTGTAAAATAATGCGTATTAATTTAAAAAAATGGATATTAATTTCCATTTCAAAGCTGGCTGGCTAAATGAATCACAAAATGCTGAATGTACTT